ATACGAAATTTCGTTAAATGAATAACAGAAGATGTCATTATGATATTTCAAAACAAACGAAACGAGGCAATGAACTGAAATGAATCCCATTAAATTCACAATATAAACATAATTCAAATCAGTTTTTTCGTTTATGATGTGAAAGCATCAGAGAGGCTGACCACGTCACTTTTGTGTTTGTTGTTTTGTGAAACAATTATCCTGTCATCATCTAAATTATTTTTATTGAAAGCATTTGTTTTTTTTATAATTTCTTTCTTTTCTCACTATATAAAACTATAGTCACATTTTTGATGATTTATTTCCGTAAAGATGAATTTTTGTGATAAAATGTCTCTGATCTTATAAGCATATATGAAATATAACTGGCTTATATGTGATATATGGTTGTTGAATTCTTCCTAGTTTTTTATTGGTTTTTTTATATTATGAATATTATATTTTATATATGGTTGATTAAATCATCTTTCTGATATATTATACTAAATAAATTAAATAATATACTTTCAAATAAAAAATTTATATTGGGAATTAAAAATCTTAATACTGAAAACAACTGTATTTGATTTTTATGTCGTTCATTTGATATTTGGGTGTAAAATACTTGTATCACTAATCTTTACAATTTCACAAGTTGCAATTAAATTTTATTAAGAACATAAAATTTCGAAAAATATCAAATTGTACATTAAGTATAAGATATACAGGAACGCTTTAATTATGTGTGACTTTGACATCACTACACAATGATACATAAATTTATATATTAAAACTAAATTATTTTAATTAAAGTTGATTCACCTTTTGATAACTGTAATTTATACTTATTTTAATTACCCCTAAAAGAACAAAATTTTCTTTGATATAGAGTGGCATTAATAATACATTTACGTTAAACAAAACATGTAAAAAATATTTAAATTAAATTAAAAACGAGGGTATAGGGTTGACCGTGCCAACTTATTAACGTGATATTCGTACGAATGAATAATTTTAAGAATTGTATTGTTATTGGGACGCTGTTTCACACGACACGACGATAAACTTATAAGATTATCAAAGATTTTTACTGAAAATAATGGCCACATTACAATATCGTTTATGCAAAATTTCAGCATTGTGTAATTTCAGTATAGTTTCTATAATATATGAATAAATGGCTTTCAAAATTGTATGGCTACCACTTAGTCAACAAATTTCAATGACAGCAACAAAAATATACTTGTTGGGGCAATATTTGTATATTAAAATTTCAATAAATTCTGAGATGTAGCCAAATAACTTTTGAAATTTTTGGACAGCTATTCAAACCACCGCCTCGATCAAATCCAATTAAAATAGGGTTCCGACCATTACGATTATAAATCATAATTATGTGAAAATTTGGTGAGCTTAGCTCAATTAGTTTTTGAGTTATCATTGGGACGAACGAACAGACGAACATACATATAGAATTCGACTTAAACACATACACTTGTGCCTATATCGCAGACCATTATTTCATTGTCGTTCATTGCGAACGACAAGGCAAATTCATAATACTCTTCAAACATACTCTCGCACGGGTATAATTCTATAAAAGAATATGTTGACACATTTTAATTATGTACAAGGAACATTTTAAAATTTTTTTTGAGACCTTGATGTATTTGATTGATGGTCATGATTTTATCAAATTCTGAAATTTTGAAATTTTTCAAAACTTTTGTTAAATATCTGAGAACATTTATATCTAATATCGTATGTTTGTTATCGTATAATTAGAGATAAATATTTAATTATCGGCTTACACATTTTAGACAAGTTTTAGATTTCTTATTTAGGTTTTACTATTTTAGATCTTTCATTCTAAACTAACAATTTCAAAATTTTATTTTTAATCAGATATTTTAAATTTGAATGTAATTTTAACTTTTACTTCTGATCATGAATGTAATTTAGTTTAAGGCTAAACTTAATAATTAAATGCAGCCAGCTGTAAACTTAGTATAACTTTCAAATCTCTTCAGACATTTTATTTAATATTATTTTATACAATTATTATTTAAATTCTTTTAAGGTAAATTCAATGTTTTCGTTCTTAAAATTATGCCTATTAATTAAAAGTTGTATTCCGTTTCATAGAACGCTAATGGAATAATTTTTGTCTTATCATTGCAGACCGAAAATTAAATTCATTAAAAATTATTAAATTTAAATAAATTGCATATATTTAGGATGACGTTTCAAAATAAATATTTTTTTTTTCAACAACTTTATAATTCTAATTTTGGTTCGTATCCCAGCTAATAAATAGAAATATTGTTGTCATTATCAACCATAGATAATTGAAATTCCGCACCAAATATGCAAAACGATTTATGAAAACTTCCACAAACAAAAGCTTGTGTTACATGGGAAAAATATTTTATTTTCAACTTCTTTTTTAAGTTGCTGATTTCAATTTTTTTGTAAATATGCACTTAAATTGTAAGTAAACTGCTAAAGAAAGCCATCATCAAATTTGATAACAAAACCCTTAGATTTTTTACTTTAAAATGAACAGGTGTTAAATTAATATACAAAGTTGGAATTTTAATTGTAATTTATAGTGTATGCTCATATTACCGTTATTAATCATATTTGGCATTTAGTTTATTCTAACTCTCAACAGCAAAATGAAGATTATTTTAAAATTATTCCTGAATTTGGAATGATGTCAACAAAATTCAATGTAGGTATATTAAGTTACTCTTATCTCCTTGATTTTATAACAAAAATAATTTGTTCCTTTAGATTTTAGAATCTTTTATTTTTGCTCAAATTTATTCAATTTACTGCGAGATAATGGTAACAGTTTTTAAAGTTTTAGTTTTGATTTGGTAAAAGAGAAATGAAATTTAATTTAATTAAAAATTACTCTTTCGTGTTTGTGACAAAGTAAAACTAAAATAGATCTAATTCTAAAATTAATAAAAGATTTTTGGCTAACTCGTTCTAATAAAAGCTGGTTAACTATGGGCATTAGACTGAGAGGCCTTAATTTTCTTTCCTCAAATTTCCAATTTACTTTTTTAGAATAAAGAATTTTGATTTTTGTAAAATATATTTATATTTTTTTTTTAATTTAATTTAAAATATTAAAAATTTCAAATAACATTTTCTGAGTTCTTTTACAACATTATTTTTTAAATACAAAATTAATTTTCACTTTAAATAAAAATTAGAAAAAAAATTATACAGGTAAAAAAAGAAATGAAAATTTCTTACAAATTGAAATTATTTTTTGTTTTGTTTAGTAACTCTTGTATAAAAGTGTCCACCAACAAATATAAAAAATTTCAATTTGTAAGAATATTTTAATAATAAAATTATATTTTGTAAACTAAGGATACTCTAAGTCTAAGTACATATGAAAAATCTTAAAATATTACAAATCTTAAATTCTTAATTTTTTTACTATTAACTGGTAAAGGTTATATAATTTATGGTATAGTACAAAAAGTTTTAATAAATTCTCCATAATATTTTTAAATAATATTTTTTTAATTAAACTAAAATTTTTGCCGAATTATATTGTTATTTATATATATATAGATTAAAGTATTGTAATTATAGTAAGAATGAAGTAAATTACATATTCTTTGTTAAGCGATTTGGACTTGGTCAAATATTGCACTCCTCAGCGCTATAAGAACTTAGAATGCTTATACAAAAACTTGTTACTTGTAAACTTTTAAGCAATTTTACAAAAACATTATTTTCTGAGACAGAAGGATGTGGGTGTAAATGTGAAAATCTTTGTCTAATATATAGGTATTAAAACGCATTAAATTAAAGTACATAAAACTCATAAACTTGATTACACTTATATTGTAAAAAATAATTTCTTTAGAAAAGAGTTAATCTGTTGAACTGTATAACCAACTAGAATAAGGGATGGTTAATTGGTTGGATGGCGTGGTTGGTGTAGCACGTTCACGGCACCCCAATTAACACAAATGTGTCGTTTTGCTACCACTATCCCGTAATCATTAAGCTGTCAATTACAGGTGCCCTATCTAAGCCTGTAAAACTGGTTCTCTGCTAATTTTCGATATTTCATTCATCTCCGCCATAATTGCTATATAACTAATCTGGCCTAGGCCAGAGTTGGACATTCGCAGGCATAATGAAAGAAGATTTGCTTCGGAAGAAGATAAATATATAATAAAATTGTAAAAATATAGAGAAGATTAGAATGGGACAAAGGATGAGGAGAAATAAGTTTACTAATATAGAGGCTTTTGTCTATATATACAAGTTCAACTATACTGTTTCTCAATTGGATTGAAAGTTTTGTGCATTTAGCAATGAAATTTATATTAAAAAGCGGTTCATTATTGTAGCTTTTAGAATGACTCCCGGTATTTTGTAATTAATTGAAATTAGTAATTATGAAGAGTAGAATTATATGAAATTAGTGAAAAAATATGAACACTAAAAGTCTAAAATTAATACTTCTTCTGACAACCTGATACCATGGCAGTTAAAAAATGAGCATTCGTACAGTTCTTATAACAGAGGCTTCGCTCATTGCTCACAACATTAATGTAATTTTTACTTCATTTTATTTAAATTTTAAAAATTATTCTATTTTAATTATTATTAAATTAAATTTTATATAATATTAAAACTAAAATTATAATCTTAATTTTATTTTATAACATAAAGCATATTTACATACATATACATATATAATAATTATTATGTATGCCATATTTTATTTTTATATTAATTTACAGTTTTATTTATTAGGAATGTCATTTTACTACTTAAACGAAAAATGTCATAACAATTAATGATATTTAAATTAATATTTTTTTTATTTTTTCATTTAATTCAATGTGTTAATGATTTTCAGAATCATTAATTGAATAATTATGAATGCATGTATTTATGCAAGTGTTTTATAATATTTAAATAACTTGAATATTTCTTAATTTTTTGTAATACTGTAAAGTACATGCTATGGTATTTATTATAGATTCTAAAAATTATAATGTTGATTAATAATTCTATTGCAAAATTCTATTTTAAATTTGAGAGCCCCTATATCGATATTGTTTATTGTTTAAGGTTCTATATTACTCAATATTATACTCGTATTTATATTTCTGGAGTTTGTTTAATTTGATTATAATCTGCATTAAGTCGACGCTATAATTTTAAATATTTTGTTATATTATCTTAAAAATTATAATTTGCATTAGCATAAAATTAATTTCCAATATTTAATTTTCTAATCATTTAATTTAAAATTATTCCAAATGTCATCCATTTTGAAACTTAATTATTATGTGTGAAATTATGAAAAAAATTTGAAGTATTTGTAATTATTGTCATAATTCTTTATTGAATTGTTTTCGAAATAATTAAAGATTCTATGTTGACAGTATGAAAGTGTCCATCCGAAATCCCTTACAATTTAAAACTGCAGTAATAATGTACTAATACACAATTCAGAGTAATTACAATTTTTTTTTTTTTTCCTTCTTCACTCCTAGAAGGAGCATAGGGCTAGTGCATGATTTCTCATGCACTAGTTTCATAGCGTCATAGAGTTTAACTAGGTAGGTGACTAGCCTGCCGTAGTCTTATTTATATTAATTATTTGAGGTTATTAATATTTACTGTTTATTTTTCTTAGTCTTTAGTATCGAATATTATGAATATTTGAAAATTACTTGTATAATATTTATTAGTATTGCATATTAAGTTATATAATATTGAATATAATTTTTATAGTGACCTGACCGGGGTTTGAACCCGAGACCCTTCGGTTAAAGGGCCGGTGCCATAACCACTGCACCAATGGTCAGAGTAATTACAATAAATACACTCAATTGTGTGTCAGTGTCATGTTACCACTATTTTGAAGTCAGGCTATTTTAAGGACACTATAACAATATTTTGAAAGAATTACAATAAAATGAAATTAAAGAGATAGAAAGAGATTCTATAGAAGGATTGCTTTATAATTTTTGAAAATATTGAATTGTTTTTAAAACAGTGAGTGAATGAACACTACTTTTTGGAAGGAATTTTTTTAATTGTCAAAAATTGTTATTAAATAAGAATTAGAAATTGAATTGATGTGGACAAAATGTATATTGAGAAATTAAATTTTGTGAAATGTGTTTTTCAGAAGTTTTACAAATTATTTGAATATCCAATTTCTATAATTTAAAAATTTTCGGAAAAATACTTTCAGAATCGCATTTACGAACTCTAAAACAACAAAAATGAATTTATTTCTCTTCTATTATCCCTAAATTTTCTTAAAAATTATCAAAACTGTCAAAAATTTTGTTCACCTATCATTTCTTATCTTCTCCAATTAATTTAATTTTTAATATTTTTTTTTTATAATTTTTTTTTAAATAAATTATTTTTATTTCAATTTCGCATTTTTCATATTTTTATCATCAATTTATTTCATTTTTGTTGTTGTTTTTTTCAATTAAAAATATCATCTACTAATTGTTTTGTAATTATTCGATGTGGTCTTGTTGGATTCACTTTAGGTCTCTGATAAAGTCTAGCATTAATTGCATATAAACGTGGTGATAAATCACACCGGACATTAAACCACCAATCACATACAAAAACTGCTTGAGAAAATTGTGTACCATTTGGACATAAAAATGATGCCTGTCTACCATCTATATCACAATAATGCCAACCTAAAAGTAAAAAAAAAGCAAAGAAAAATTTATTACGTTAATAAACAGAGATTTAGAATTAATAAATTAAATTAAGAACTTAGAAATTTCGAAGTTGATAATAACATTTTTAGAATATTGTTATCAATATGATTTAATTCAATACCTTGACATCTTGTTTCCATGTCTGCAAAAAATCCGGGATATAATTGTTCATCGCAATAGAAATTTGTATAAGGAATTGCCGAAAGTATTGGATAATCTGTACCTGGCCGTCCTGAAATTGATACAAATAAAATTTGATATAGTCAACAGTTCACAAGAGTTATGAGTCAAAGAGTGATAAAATTTAGAAAATGACATTTTAAAATGTCAAAACATTAAAACATAAATAGATTAATGCTATAACAGTGTTACCGTTTGTGTATATGTTATGTGTTAAAAACTCATCACAATCAATTTACTCTAACAAATTTTTTACGATATAAGAAATAAATTACCTGGAATTGATTTTCCTAATTCTAAATATTCCCGGACTGAAGGACTCAAAAAATTATGTGGTATATTGGGTATATCTTTTTCTTGACTATTACCATCATTATCTAATTCTTGTCTTGGTTCTGGTTCAAAATTAACTGCTTCTGGTGCACGTATACGTTTTGCACGTTTTGATCTTACTGATTCACGACAGTCTGAAATAAAAATTTTTTTAATAATGCGAAAAATTTAACAAAAATGTAATTTTTCATCTTAATTATAGGAATATAAGACTTTATCGTAACTTAAACCGTAACATTTTGTAATGCACATTGATTATATAGGCTTATATTAATTGTTTACTATAAAAATTCAAGTTATTATATGTGCGTGTTTTATAATTTTTGAACGTTTATAAATACAAAAAAGTTTTTCATATTTTCATTTTTTTTGCTATCGTTGATACCTAATAATTATTGCACGCAACAATTTCTTTCATTTTATAGACAGTTGCCAATTTATGTAACTGATTTTCCTATATATTCCAATAGCTTAATAATAAGAATATAATCGTGCATTTCTTATAAGTATACAATACGTGATTTGAATATTTCACACTTAAGCCATAATTTGAAGAAATATAAAATTTATATGGGAATATGTGATATATGTATGTAGATAGTGTTAAGCTCGATGAAGTTGTTTGATAATTTATTAATTTCACAGTAATTTGGAATATTTCATTATTTTATTTAAAATTGTATTAGAAATTAATTTTTGTTACACAAATAAGAATGTGGATTAATATTTAAATTTAATTAGAAATAAAAATTGTTTAGCTTTATAGAATAAGATGGCCAGAAGGACTTAATAATGGTTTTTATAAACTAAATAACAACATGTTTAACATTCTCATAAAAAAACACAGGTCACCAGTGTCGCCATCGTTGAACTTTTGATGAGTACCACAAATGACAATATTTTCTCTATCGCACACAAAATGTTCGTTACGACGTCTCTTAAATATTTTATTAAGGAAACGTGATTTTCAACACTTTCAATTTCTTAAATAATAAAACAATAAGCATCTTCGCGTAACGCAAAATTAAAAAAAATTACAAATGACTGCAAAGTTGGTTGCTTAAAGTAAATGTTTACCGGCATCTCTAAACAAAATGTCAAACGAAGTGTTAAAGTATATAAAAATATATGCTAGCGCCAAATGTTTAAATTATGCAGTATGATTTGACCAATTATTATTTTACTCTAGTAAAAGGCATCAGATGCATTTTCTTGGCACTAACATGAAGCCACATGAGATATATTTCTGTCAAGAATTTGCACAAATGCGCTCCACAATACTAGAGTAATTTTCACTGGTACGTGAAAACTTTTATAATATACTTTTATAATATTTTCTATTAATAAAAAATTTCTCTTAAAATATTTTATTGTAAATAATTTTTTTGTTATAATATTTTTTTTATTGCATGGCACAATTAATTTTTATGCAAATAACGATTGCCGTGACAATTTATAAATATAGAATAATAATAAAAAGGGTCGTCAAAATTAATTGAAAACATTCAAAAAAGAGAAAAAAAGTAATCAAAAATGATAGCATTCAAATAAATCGAAAACAACTTAAAATTATACAATGCTAAAGCAAAAATATCGATACAACGATGACGATAGTAATCGATAATTTGATTCTATATGCCAGATACATTTAATGCAAACAAAATAATGTTGTGCAACAAAATAAGATTGTTTACAGTTTACATTATTATATACATATTTCTCAAAATTCTTTTATAAAAATATTATTGTTGCACTTTTATTTCGTATATTTTTATTTTATACTTGTATTTAAAATTATTACCGACGGCATTGCATACAATAAGGAAGGTTATGTGATGACACCGAATTTTACATGTCGAATATTCGGCGGAAACGCATTTTTCTATGATAGGGAAGGGTAAATAAAATATTTTTTAACGGATATCTGTCCGTCTGTCTGTCGGTTTGTCTATGAGGCTGTCTGTTAGTCTGTTTGTACGATTCAGTATCTTAACTTCGTCCTGGACTCTCGAATATGAAGTTAAGATACTATCACGAATATTTGTACCTGAGAATGAGACGGTTTGATCAACTTTTGAAATATGTTACATTTCTGGAATGCATTTCCCCATAGTAGGGAAGTGTAAATAAACTATTTTTAGCAACCTCTCGGTCTGTCGGTCTGTGTGTGCACGCGTGTATCTCAAGTTCTGCTGAACCTATTTTGATGAAATTTTATATGTAAGCCCTACCTTTTTGCACGATCCCCTACCTTGTCAAAAACTCGAAAATTTTTTAAAATTTTGCACGACCCCCTACCTTGTCAAAAAATCGAAAATGTTTTAAAATTTTGCACGACCCCCTACCTTGTCAAAAAATCGAAAATTTTTTAAAATTTTGCACGACCCCCTACCTTGTCAAAAAATCGAAAATTTTTTAAAATTTTGCACGACCCCCTACCTTGTCAAAAAATCGAAAATTTTTTAAAATTTTGCACGACCCCCTACCTGTCAAAAAATCGAAAATTTTTTAAAATTTTGCACGATCCCCTACCTTGTCAAAAAATCGAAAATTTTTTAAAATTTTGCACGACCCCAAAATTTGTCCCTTGTCAAAAAATCGAAAATTTTTTAAAATTTTGCACGACCCCCTACCTTGTCAAAAAATTGAAAATTTTTTAAAATTTTACACGACCCCTACCTTGTCAAAAACCATGGCACGGATTGATCAACTTTTGGGATATATCAGACCTCGGGAACTGCACTTTTTAGCGGGCCTGTTTTACATTTTTGAACATTTTAAAGAAAATATTCAACCAATTTACTTAAAATTTCATATATAAGCTTTGCTCGACTGTACGCAAAAGTTCCTAACTTTTGGAAGAAATAAGTCGTCAGCAACTGGACGTTTACTACGGGCCAAATATACGTTTTTGTGTATATAAAGAGAAATAATCAACCGATTTCATTCAAATTAAATATTTGAATTCCTCGTATTAGACAATGAGCATATAAACTTTTTGGAAAGATCAGGGCTCGAAAACTGATTTGTGAGCCGATTTTACTTTTTTCACCATATCTACGGAACGAATTTATGGAATTTCTTGAAATTTGATATTTGAGTTCTGGTTGTTACCGAAAATAACTGGCGGGCATTTCAGGGAATTCGGGTAGCACAAAGCGAAACTCTACTAAAAGCCAAATTTACATTTTTCTAGGTATGTTAACTATAAGCTTACTAATGTCCTAAAAATTGTAAAGAAGTATTTAACAGACATTTTTATAATATTCTGTAACATTTTCACTTAACTGAACAATACACATTGCGGTCGGTTATGTGCTGACCACATCAGATTTTTATTTTTTTTTAAAATTTCATTATTGTCATTTTATTTGTTGTGTTCGCTTTCATATACAGTTAGAATACTAACTAGATTCAATAATGTAAACTTACAAGCTAAAATGGCAAAATACACCATAAATACAAAAAATTTTTTAAGGTAGGTAGGTAATGTTTATATCGCGAAAACATAACAAATTAAATTTTTTACATTTTAAGTAAAACTATTTTAAAAAATTGAAATAATTCGAATTGAACTGAAAATACATAATATTTTTCTCATTTGTTATTGTATATTAAACTAATACAAATAATAAGATCAAATTTACAAAAAAAATTTTTAAAAATTATTTTTCATCGAATAATTTTTGTTTTTTTATATATATTTGTGTACATATGTAGTATTTGTTGTTACTAATGTCTCTTATTACTGTGTACAAAAAACCAAACAGAAAATGTCAAAGATTATTATCAAAAGATTTTTGAATTGACTTTAAATGTTACTGATGGTGTTCTTGTGTTTATTGATTAACATAAATATTATGTGTTGTGTTTATTGTCAATTCATTGAACTAGATAATTACTACAGTAAATGTACGAAGTTTAATATTTATACATATGTCAAATTGTCAAATACAAGTAAAAGTAAAGCGGTGTATTTTGTCAAATTCAGCATATTTCAAAAAATATGGAATCTTATTTATTACACCCGATTACGATATAGAACCAAATCAAATATTTAATTTAGCCAATTCATTCAATCTTCCATATGGAAGACATTGAGTTCAAATTTAAAAACACAAAAAAGGGATAAAATGCAACATTAAAATGTCAACGCACTGAATAAAATTTTGGCGAAAATAAATTTTTTTTTTTTTAAATTTAAATTTTCGCGCAGAATACGAGTAAAACGCATTACACTTTTGAAAATGCAAAACATTCCATTACCTGCCAAAAATATCATTTATCTGTCAAATAATTGTTGACATCTGTCAAATTAATATGAAATTTTTGCTTTAGGTAAAGGTACCGTTTAATTTCATGAGAATCTGCCATATTTTTTTCTAGTCTGTAAAAGCAACTGTAAAATAAAAGAATTTCTCAATTATACAGGCATGATTTTGAACAGAAATTTCGATTATGTATTGTAACGCGCCTCTAAACTTAACAAAACCTGTTCATTAAATGTGTATATTTGAATTTGTTTATGGTTGTTGATTTTGTTTTCGTTTTGTTTTTTTTTTTTTGTTGACATACGGTGTGTGCTGCATTGTTTTACCACTATTATAATGCACTCAGTATAATTTTTGTATCAGGGTAATAATGTATATGCATATGTGTATGTTATGTGTATGTTATACTAATATAATATCATAAAATGATGTCACTAGTCTAATCATACATTCTACCAAATTTTTTATTGTTTTTCTTTTCTTTCGTTGTTGTTCTTTTGATTTGTTACTATGCCTCCATTTTATACATTTATTTTAGTATTTCTATGTGTCCATACAATCTTATTTTATTTGCCTTTTTTTTTTTTAGATAGAATTGCATCCCAACGGAGTATGATTCATACCTTGCAATTCGAGTTGTTGCATATAGTTTTTTTCTTTTCTTGTTTTTCTGATTATTTATTGTGTGTATACCTTTCGGTTTTTTCCTTTTATTTTGTATTGTTGTTATTCGTATTTTATTTGTTGCCTCTCTGCTCTTGTTGTTATCTCTATTGTCGCTGAAAAAATATTGTTAAACAATGTAGTAGTATTTTTTTTTTTCATTTTTCTTATTGTTTTTGTATTAATGTTAAATTTGAGAA